ATTTGTCTTGCATAACTGTTGCGCCACTCAAAGGAGAGTGCACAATCATAACCTTAAGTAGTCCTCTCATTCCACCTCTGAGCACTATCAATCGATGGGTGTGCACTTACAACATTTAAGTGCTATTTAAGTTGGCAGGTGTTTATACTACCACCGCATCAGCCTTTGCATGAAATCTGAACAAATGAGCAAAATGTATGGAGTTCAACAATGTCAGTTTCAGTTTCACTAGCATTGAAATCGCAAAGTTGCTTTGGTAATTTAATTTGTATGTTTATTACCAATTCATTTCAAAGCCATTAAAATTTGACCATTAATTAGTTTGCTAAAATATTTGGGTCACAAATTTAGAATTTTGTATGAAAATTAAGTTTGATACATTTTTGAAGCCACGTGAAAAAAAATTTATTATAAAAAAATTATTGTTGAAAAATTTTAATTGCAAAACCCATTAAACAGTGGAAATCAATAAGTATGACATTCTTTAGTTCTTAATCTTGATAGAAACAGAAATCGTTCAGCTATATAAGACTCAAAAACGATAAATTTACCATCCACTTGTTAGTTTCCCTACGTGCCATAAAACAAAACAGATCAAGAACATTCTTTTAACAATAAACGGTTAAAATTAAACGAATTAATAAACGATTTGATTTCTTTGGCAAATATTGTCTTTCTATATTACTAGCATTTGTTTAAACTCGTGCAGAGCTTGAATTTGAAAACTTAGTGGATTGGTGGAAAGAAATCGATTTCCCTACTACCTGCTTTCAACTTTACTGTTATACTATTCTTTGGGTAGATTTGACAAATTCTGAGACAAATTGAATATTTAGTAAAAGTAAGTTGATACTGACACTTCAACACCTACCCATGACTAACGGGCTACGAGTTCGGAAAACTCGTAGTTCATGACATCGGTGCTTGCACATTTTCAAAATTCTGCGGTAGTTAAAATCAAAGCTGGTTACATGAGTTTGACTTTTATTTCAATGTTTTCCCACCCGCGATTGAGTCAATTTAAATAAACATTAACTCAAAGGTAAGATTTAAGTAGAGTGTGCTAAAATTTAATATATGTGGTATTCGAAAACGTATGTTTAGGAAATTCCAAGGACAAGTTAATGCCTTGTATTTATTGATTTGTGCTAACTACTACTTTAGAAACACGCTCATAATCAAGCTCATTTCAGCTATTTTGTGCCGTGACCGTCAAATATATGCACACTTCATGGCGTCTGCATGTTCTTATATATATTGCATATTTTGGTGAAGCTAATCTACTTCATCATAGATAAATGTATGCCAAATCGGTATTTTTCAAGGAACGTAGAGCATATAGAAGTCATGTTTAAAGCAAGAATTTCAATATTTCGCCCAACGATTCAGGCCTTCTATTTCTTTGCCATAATTCACTTTATCTTGGTCCAAAGTTGTTAAATTTGTATTTGGGAGACGTGCGAGCTCCTCGACAGGATCCGGTGAGTATTTTCTTCCAGCAGTCAAGCTGTTTTTTTCAAATCGAGAGGCGCTAAGACTACTTTAATAATAGTGTTCAGCAGTACTTGCAAGAATTGAAAAAAATTAATTTAATTTTGACCGTAAATTTTGAATTTATAATAATGAAATTTTATGGCTTTAGAAAGCAAAATCTTTTTAGAAACTAATAAAGATCCCAATCAGAATAGGTATTAAAAGAAGCGACTCAAGAAGAATTATAAAACTTTCAAACTATATAATTTAATCTTGTTGCTGAAAACCTCCGAAAATTTATTATTCTCAAGTGATATCATTCACCTTTTAAGTCATTTTGTTAGCCGTTATTAGTTTTATGGGCTCGATTGAATCTTGATATCATTTAATGTATAATAACTAACATGTTTAAGTTATTTGGCATCAATTATTTCAAGGACATTTAAGTGGCTTGATTGTTCGCGTTAAAATTTATTCATGAAATAACTTTTTATAGGTCTATTTGCTTAGTGTAATTTTATTTTTTTAATATTTCCCGAAAAATGCAGGAGTACAAATAAAAGTTTTGGTTTCCATAAAAACTCAAACTATTTAATTTTGAAAATTTTGGAATAAATCTAATCACAACTAAATTAATTAGTGCATAATTCACAATCTACATCAAAGCACACTAACTTAAACTGCAATTTCACTTCAGATTTGTAAGGTAGCAGGGTGTATAAATCCCACGCCGTCCTCGTTATAAAATATAATGGATAATGCGAGAATGCATAGTTTCTTTCATTACCTTCAATTATAACAATGTATTTATTTCATTACTTAATCCCGCGCGAATGGAACCCAAAGCATTCACCCAAAATGTTGATATAATTATTTTACATTAGTTGAATATATATATATTTATATATATTTACACAAAACGGAACTAATTGAACACAAAAACCGTTATTTTTTTCTTTTCGCTACTTAAAGAACTTACAATCTCTCAACTTGTACTTAATCATACACGATTGAATCGTACATGAAATTCAGTGGTCGATTAGCTTAAATAAAATTGTCCAGACGTTCCATTACGTTTTCCAGGCTTCCCTCACAATTGATTCGAATGAATAGAACAGTTTAGGACTGGTTCCAATCCATTTGGTATAAAATTGAGCGTACTTTATTTCAGAAATGCTTAACAAGATGAAATACTATTGTCTGGAAACTTTCGAATAAAAATTATGGATAATAAATGAAGCCAATATTTAGATCATACTTGAATTTTAAATTTCGAGTAACAGTTAGCTACTTCTGCTTCATTCTGGTTTAATTATTTAGCATTAAATACAATCAAAATTTGAGATAGTTTCCTAATAAAAAAACCAATTTTGTTTTGTTAACACAGTTCCATGAAATTATGCATAAATATGTATATCGATTTAATTTATTTAGTTAACATCGAGGATCTGTACGTGCGGACAGCAGCGGAATACCACTAAACAGGATGAAGAGCTAATTAAAACGCCGCAGCGTTAGCTTTGAAGCAACGAATGTAAAATGAGTTCCATTTTACACTACCTTTAGACAAAAATAAAATAAAATACTGCCCAACGTAAAATTCAGTAATATCATGCGACTGAATGCCAAAAATTCTCAGAAACCACTGTACAATTGACAAGTTCCTTTTAATGGTAAATAAACCCTCTTAAGTTCGATCTAGAAATTGACGCTGAAATACCGTTTGCAGATTACTCTAACTAAATATACTATGTCAGAATAATTGCCAGCTCACTAAAATTGTAAGCACACAGGAAATGTTGAATAAAATCATTCCATTGTTGCGCAGTTCCTCAGTTGTGCTCCAACCCATAAGAACTCAGACGACCCTATTTTCTGTGAGAAAAGGAATTTTGTATCACCCTCAAAGGACTCTTAATTATTATTCAGGAGTAATAATAATGTCAAGAGTTTGAGTCGCGGAAAGATAAAGTATCGTTGTCTATGTCACTATATCTCTTGGGGAATTTGCTAGTCATTACCATTCTTAGGATACAGTTTAGAATAATATTATCATTATTTGTATGAGTATCACTTATATTAATATGCTCGACGAAAGCATTGATGAACGGGCCAAGTATGAAACAATCTTACTTTAATAAAGAAAAAATGACCGGAATTCATCTTTACCAAAAAATTTCTACGAAATATATTCATCATATATTTATGTCCATTTTAAAAATTTTGGCTCACAAAACCTACATAAAAGAGTAATGGCATACAAACCATTGATTTAATTTCGTGTGCAAACAGGGTTTATGTCTATATGTAATCCGAAAAACTAAAATTTTAATTAAATTGATAAATTAAAATAGTTTTAATCCAAATTGTTCAGTACTAGTGCCATTTCAACCGAGAAAGCGGGGAGTGTTTAGAGTAAATCAAATCTCCAAAACACCATCTGTTTTATAATTACTGACAAGTGTAAGTATCTACATATTTAAACATTTTTTAGTTTGGTTGGTCATTTGACAATACCATTTCTTTATCAAGAAAAATCTTTTTTAGGCAAATTGGCGTATCTCTTTGAAGTCAAGTATGTTAATAAGGCCTTTCTATTTTAAGTTTTTTTCAAGTCGTTCACTGAATACATCGAAATAAACTTTATAAAATACTTCAAGTCGATTGAATGACAAGGTTAACTGAGTAAAGGGTAAACACTTATCATTTTGAACACCTGGCAAACAGATGTTAAAGGGAGCAATCCTGTTAAGGTTTTCTCAGGCGAGAAAATATATTCGCACACGCTCTCGCTGAGATTTGCATAGGAGCTATTTGACACTCCTATGTTTTATCTCCATGTCTTGAGCTTTCATCATATTCGTCGCTTTATTTTAATTACACTATCTTACTGTGAATAGGCCAGGCAGGGACTAACATTAAAAAAAACTCACCCTGGCTGCAGTGGACGTTTGCGGTTTTTCGAGAATATCCCAGAGCTTTTTGCGGTAGATGGCACATTTATCTTCTCCAAAATACTCCTCATCCATCTGTTGCATAAAAATTTCATTCACCTTCTTCATTTCTTCCTCAACATGTTCCTTCTTTTGATAGTATCTACTTAGGCAGCAGGGATCCATATTATGATCTTCTATGCCCCAGTAGATTAGATCACTGTGATAGGCAAGAACGCAAATATCCTCCAGAGTATGAAGATGTCCAGTGCGATACATATTTAAAACACATCCAAATGTTTGTGGATGACGGTCAAAGAAATATTCATTTGCTTCAATATTGTAGTCATCACAGAGTTGCATTATTTCTTGATGAGTCACAGCATGTTGAAGCCTTCCTAGTCTGGAATGGGGTATCTTTTCCAATGTTCGCCACATAACTTCGTGTCTATCACCACCAACATTTAGAATAACTCTTGTAGATTTTGAACGACTTTGAATTATGGCTTCACGCGTGGGTTGTGGATCTTTGAATAACTGGAAGGCACGGACCTGAAAGATTGGTTGTGGCATGAGAATATCAAGGGTAAGGTTCGTGGAGGAATTAATACCTCTCTGTCGACGAATCAGCTTTTGAGTAATTGCCATTCTAGAAATCATTTGCTGAAGAAAAATTCTTGAACGTTTCCATGTTTTGTTAACCATTACACGCTGATTGTTAAAACGTTGCACACGATCTGGTCTTCGAATAGACTGACTTTTTCGATGAGCACTTTCTTGAGCTTGGAGAATGAAAGGGGTCATTGAGACGGCTTTTGGAGTAGCTGACGACCAGGATGACGGCTGCATGATGGCTGCTAGAACCTTTTCGAGGAATGCATTTCCGTCTTTCCACTATCAAGTGAGTCACCACCCACAGCTGATTTCAATGAAAAGCACTGATTGGCTACTAGCCAAGGGGAATATTAACTCCAAAGAAGACCAACCAAATTTCAGCTGCGCCCTGCAATTTATTTTAAGCTAAGCTCTCCCGCAGAAAGCACGCCAATAAATTGGGGGATGATGATTGAATTCACCAGCGCATCTTTTAACCAACAGAAATTTATTTCGTAAAATAGAATTCATTGCATTTGGAAGAGTCTGGATTGATCTTTAACATAGATCTTATTTTAAAACAGTTTATGCTTTTTAATGCTATTAATTCATAAAGAATAGAAAGTGTGATATGGTCTTTCTTTGGGCAATGGAATAGAGTGTTAAAGCCATTTCAAATAATTTCCTTTGACTCCATTTTGTACATTTAGCGAGGTACTGAACAAGTTCAAAGGAAATGAACCATTAATGTATTTCTATTTTTCAGCCCCTTTATTACTTTGACACTATCTTTGCCTTGTTTACTACTCTGGTGTTAAGAAAATAATGTGAACTTTATCCGTCGAGAAAGAATGCAGAGAAAATCGATTGTATTCATCTTTTAATGTTTTCCCAGAGTTTTATTACCTCCTTTGAATTTCATTTTTCATTAACCTGTAAAATTAACAAAATAACTCCGATGTCAATAAATAAATTTTAAAAGTATCATATGAAAATTATTTGAAATTAATTGAATTTAAGAAAATTTACTTAATGACTGCCAAAAATCTTTTGTTTATTCGATAACAAATTGTATTATAGACTTGCAGTAGCTATCGAAATTTGCATCCATTTAAACATTTTTGCTTTAAAAGACTTCATTGAGGAAGTGAGCAATTAGCTAAATAATTCTTATGTTTTGTTATAATAATTATAATACATCCACTTATTAAAGGCAAAATTATGGCTTTTTTGCAATTGCAACCATGTGGTTGTTTGGCGAGAAAATAGTAGTAGCAGTGATTGTGTTTAAGACCATTTTCTTATTAGGTGACAATAAACAGAGTTAAAAATAGTGAATTCATATTTTGAGGTTTGATAAATCTGATCAACGTTATATATTAGTCATGAATACCTAATTTATAAATATTAATAATAACAGTAACAGATTGATCGAGCAAAATTCATTACACTCGGATTTAGAAAACATGCATCTATAAATAGACAATTTTTATACAGTCAAGGGAGCAAAACTTTTACAAAATTAAGTTGTGTCTACGAGCCCATATATCTAGGTTTTAAAGTCATTATATACAACACTATGTGCCTTGTAAAAATTTATTGCCGAAATAAGCGATCGAATAAAGTCCTTGTTCTTTTTGGTTCCCGTATGGTCATTTAGATTTAATGTGCTTGAGTATAAAACTTGATATCCTGACGCTTTAAATGTTTTTCAAATATATATAATTAAAGTAGTTTGCCATGAAAAGCGAATTCACTTATAAATTCTCCTACTCATAAACCTTTTGGCTTCTAAATGCCTTCAACCTTGATTGAAATAGCCCTTCGGTTGCTTTCAACTCGAGCCCAACCATTATATCGTATTTAGGTTTTTATTAATACGGTGGGTTATGTTACAATGGAGGAACATTAAATGAAGTATGTAAGACCTATATGTGTTTTATGACACACTGTGTAATAAAAAGAAGCGTGCTTTTAACTTCGCTTTAGCTAAATTCCACGTTACAAAAAGGCGGTGTCAAGAAGCATGTATTGAACTACAATAAATTATGTTCTGAAAAATACTCTAAACTAATATGTTTAATTTGCCAAATTAAGAATCAATCCACTTAATTCAACTTGGCTACTATTTCCTTAATTTTTGCACATCAATGGGGGTTTCGTCTGAGCGTGAGAATTCGCATGACGGTAACCTGTATGAACATTTCTTCAATTGTATTTCAACCTATTTTAGTTAATACATACATAAGTTATTGCAATTACTACAAGGGTATAGTATGTCAGTCTTAATATGAGTAATATTTTTTACTTTGAATGCTGCGCCCATGTGTGGCTGATTGTTTCACCCTCTTTCAAAAGGTTAATATTTTCTAATGGGCGAGTTTAGAATTTGGAACACATATTTTATTGAAACATTTCGACATTTTTGGACATCATCAATAGTGCACTGATGAAACGATTATGAGTCTTATATACTAAAACCTGAAATTAATAATATTCAACAGTTTTACTACTGTTAACTTTATTAATTCTTTTTCTGAAAAATGCCTTTTATCCAGGTATTTTCCAAAAATCTTCAGCGCAGGGCAAAAATGAGTTCACTTCACTTATGAAATCTTCTACGCTTCTAAGATAAATTTTCAGATTTCTTTATGCGGAACTAACAAAATCAAAGCTTTCCAGTGCGACTAGACTTCATCAAGTATCTACTCCAAAGCTAATCGTAAATAGTCACGATTTCTTATTTCACTAAATAGTAACAAGAATCAGCAATAATAACAGAATCCGAAAGTTGGGAGAGGTGGGGGGGGGGGGGGGGGGAGAGAGACCGTGAGAGTCATTTTATTGAATCTACCAAATCTATGGATTAATGAAAGTGTTTAGACGATTAATGAAGTTAAATTCAATGATATGAAATATGTGTACTCTTTTCTTCCTTATTTCAAATTTTTATTCCTCATTTGGGATTATTAAATAACCAAAAAAGATGGGACTTAATTTTTGAAGATTTCACAAAACCCAAATATACGGATGTTTCAGCCATCTCCTTGTCGCTGCCAAATTGAAATTACTATATGCTTCAAAATAGTATTAGCTATCTTAATACTATTGCTATAAAGGTTGTTTTGTGGAACAAATTAATTACAAATTTTATATAAAGAAGGTAAAAAATATTTCACACAAATGAATATTAACGTCCAGTGTGATCCTAAATCCATCAACTCACAAATTCACGGATTTCGTGCATTTCAAAAAAATGTTCAATTCAATGGAAACACCTATCATAAAGTATAAAATGAGAGAAACTGAAAGAGAAACATGAATCTGCTCCTTTCTCTATGACAAGAATTCAAAGCACTTCTTTGGGCAGTTTTGAAAGCTAGCACAGAAATCTACCAGCTTTCCTTATTTTTCCTATCTCCCTGTGAAAATGTATGAAGCACAATTTTTAATTGAAATGAGTGGAAAATTACCCCTTACCGACACACTATTTTTCAATTCATTCATGAAAATGTTCAAGTTTCCAACTGCTTTGATTCAGGAACGTTGCAACAAGTTCAAATTATAAAGAAGTTATTTCTCTACTTGCAAATAACAATGCGGAGTTGCGTGGAGTAGGAGGAGGGTTGGGAATACTTATGCCAAAAATTACCTTTGAGCTGATATGATGGCCTTTGAACTGCCTCAACATAACTCCTGAAAAAACGCAGTTCAGACACAGAACAACTGCGCATATCATTTCAGTTATGAAAATTTAAATCTGCTCCATTGTGATTAAATAATCAGAAGTCAGAATTTTTAACACCTTTGATTTCACTTGAAAATAAAATTGCGCTTTAGATTTTTTTAAGAAAGAGACGTACGTGTTTTATTTCTCACCTCTGATTTTAAAGTCTGTTAAAAGTAAAAACCACTATTAGAGAGAAAATAACCTGCTTTCATCATATTTTGTCAAATGACTTATGTAAAGTGTAGCAAAATATAAACTCATTTAAGTATTAAGAAATAATTATATATTCCATGCATTTTAGTCTTACTATCAAGGTCATTTTTTGGAAATGTTTAAAATGGGTAATATATGTATTTCATATGTGTGATATTTAAAATTATCAGAGGAATTAACATAAATTACTTTGAGCATAGTTAACTTAAGGGTTAATAAATTAGAACCTCCCAGACTGCACTCATGTAGGTCGTCGCTGAGCGATGAAGCATGGATAACTATTGTTATGTCTAAGCCCTGCCTTCAGTTTCGGAATACCTACGTATTGAGTGTCAGTGAAACAAAATAAATCAGCCTAATAATTTTTTACAAAAATATTGTCAAACACTTTAAGAGTGTAAGAGGTAGGCATTGTTAAATGCCCTATCGAAGGAACCGTCAACCTGGTCGAAATAACTTATTGCAAACCCTTAGTAATTAAAATGTGTCATTGGGTTTCATTTGTTCACCATTCAGGAAATACCATTAGAGAAAGTTTGTTTCCCTCACGTTGGCTCCACGTTTGACTCCAGTAGTTGGCAACTCATTTTATCTTAACATTAAGTATATATTGCTAAACAGAAATGTATGAGGTATATATTTTTGTTAAATGAATAATATCTAAAATCTTGAATTTGTTTATCAAAATTTGTGTGCTAGTATTCGTTTATATGAACAATTATCAGTATCAAATTAATACGAAGTTAAATTTCATGATAGACTTTAAAATCCCTTCCCTAAATTACATTTTCTTTTTATTTCGAATATTTATATAAAATTATGCACTGCTAATTTTTATCTATTGCTAGCTGTTAATGTAATTTAAAAATCCTACTTACAATTTATCAATAACATATAAATTGTGATCTTTAATACTAGAATGATTTGAAGTAAACAGACAGTTTTTTGGCATCAGGACATAATTTAACAGCTTTTCAAATAGCTATTATAAATAATTTTTCTGGAATTCAAATTACTCATTCACACGGTCCTAATGTACCTTAGTTAGTAGCATAAATACTGTAGCTGATCGGCCGCTTTAATAAGTCTTGACTATTCTCAGAAACCTCTGTAGTAGATCTCCTATTCGGCAAGTCAACAGAAGTTAACTATACTACCACAAGCTGTAAAAGAAACGTACGTATTACAAGGACCACGTTTATTCACAAAGGATGTGGCGTGAAAATTGATTTACAGGGTGTTGCTAATCATTCAATTTGGAGGCTTCAGTATAACAAACGAGGACTTCTGATTGGCTCTTGGTTGTGCGCGC